CCTGCTACATGTTGTCTCCATGAGTTGTTCCTCAGTTGCCCTCCCCTCCACAAGCAGCCACAATTGCAGCGCTGGAGAGCTGGTTCAGACATGGACAGGGCATCCACAAACCAGTTTTCCCTGAAGATGAAGGGGGCAGAGTGAGTTCCAAATATGTGTCTTAGCCTGAGGGACTGGCAGCCTCTCAGCATATTCAGAACAGCAAAGGATTCGGGAGGAAAAAGCTGGCGTGAGTCTTAGATTTGTCCCTTAGAGAAACTGATGAGACCCATGGGTTGCAAGCTTGGGGGAGAGGGCAGCAAGGGAGTGAAAATTAGTCTGAATAATTCTGCTCCGAGTAGAGGATTCTAAAGGAGATCAAACAAAAATGCAACCCCTCTCTTCGCCCCATCCTGAGTTCCGTGGAGGAGCTTCCTCTGCTTGCTTCATCAGGAACAGGCCTGGAGAGAAAACAGGGGGATTCTGTTTCTGCCCCAGGTCCCCTGGTTGCCCGGAGTACATCTTTCTTTTGCTCTTCTAGGAGCCCTGAGTTTATTTGTGATGTCTTTTTCCTTTTCGCTCTGTGCTGGTCCTCTCATACTTCGAGTCAAATAAGATTTTTACTTGGCCAACATCCCCATTTCTTCTAATCTATTATTCATCCTGCTGTCATGTGTTCAGCTCACCTCCCTACAGCGTCTCTAGCCATATCGTCCTCCTCTGCACATCTGTGATTCGCCTGTGTCGGGACATCAGCTCAATTTGTCTCATTCGATCCAGAGCTCAATCCGTCTTCATTTTCCTCTCATTGCCCGAGGCTTCAGGCTTGCTGTGGGTCTTGGGGTTTCTGAGGGGAAGTTATACTTGGGTTGAGCATGGGAAGCTAACCTCAGGTCACACTTACCCCTGGACGTTGTGTTTTCTCAGCCCTTGTGGCTCCTCTAACCAACTCTAACTGCTCCTTCTCTTTGGACAACATGGCCCTCAATGTGTGGTCCCCAGACCAGTAGCTTTAATGTCATCTGGGAACAGGGTAGAAATGCAGACTGCCAAGCCCCACCCCAGACCTATACTCTATCAGACATTCTAGGGGCAGGCCCAGTCATCTGTTTTCATAGTCTCCCCCTACCCCTGCCCCCAGTTGTGATGCATGCACGTTTGAGAGTCCGTGGTCCTGAACAGTAGAGCTCAACCCTGACAGACCTCCAGCAGAGGGGCTTCTCTGATCCCATCTCATTCTTTCCTTGAGCTTTTCTCTAGCTTTAAGAATGACATTAATTCAATGGCCAAAAAGAAAGAAAGAAAGAAAAAAGAATTATAGCCTATACATTCAATATGTCTTTATTAAATACCTATGTACTGGGCTTGGAAAACATAGCCCTTGTCCTCGTTGTGTTAAAAGTGGAGCAGCAGAGAGACACATAAACAACTAACTGTAATACAACATGATAAGTACAATAATAGCAGCCTGCTGAAGTGCTGCAGGAGCACAGAGTGGGGAATGATCTACTCTGAGGGAGGTAAAGAATTAATCAGGAGGAGGATGTGGTGAGAGGAGGAATTAGGGAATGAGACAGGCTCTAGCCCCAGGGATAGGATTTCTAGCTTTGAATGCCAGCTAAAACGGAGAAAGGGGAAGGGGATGGGGGGAGCAGCTGCCCATGAGGATCTATCGGCACCGGCTGAGCAATCCAGAAGCATTTGGGATCTAGCAGGACCCCCAGCTTGCAGCTGGCAGAAGTTGGCTTTATTGTAGATGAACAATGTAAGCTACTTGGGTCTGGCCTCCAGGTCAGTGGCTAAGAATAAAGTGCTGGTGCACTGTAATCGGGATTAGCTGCTGTACCACCCTCTCTCCAGAGTTCAGGAATCCACGATGGAGGAGAAGGTTGACCAGTCTCCGGTGCAGAGAGAGACAGGGGGTCATGGGCTGGGGGGCAGGCAGACTAAGGAGATGTGAGCAGGGAGACCCAGATCATAGGCAAGGAATGATGCACTCATTGAACAGGAACCAGAGCAGGACCTGGGTAGAAGGCACTCGAATAGAAAACTGTAGGGCTCGGAGATGGCAGCAGGGAACACAGGCAGAGCACACAGCATGTTCTCCAGAAGTCCAGGGCCTGCAGAGCCCAAATGCTTGAAAACCCAAACTCAGAAACAGGGAGATAGGCCTCAGAACCAGCAGAGAGCAGTGTTTTCACATGCAAGTCTATGGGAATGAGCTCCTTGGAGTCCCAGCGTGGGGGCCTGATGAGGAGCCGTGACCTATAGACAGCACTGCCATCTCGGTTCCTTTTCCTTTTTTTTTTTTTAAAATATGTTTTTATTGATTTCAGAGAGAGGAAGGGAGAGGAAGAGAAAGATAGAGGGATAGAGGGATGAGAGAGAATATTGGTCGGCTGCCTCCTGCACGCCCCCTACTGGGGATCGAGCCCTCAACCTGAACATGTGCCCTGACCAGGAATTGAACCATGACCTCCTGGTTCATAGGTCGATGTTCAACCACTGAGCCACACCAGCCGGGCTCTGCTCCATTTCTGTATGGCAACATCTCCAGAAACCCAGCACACAAAACATGTATGTCAAAATTTGATTTGGCCAAAGGACCATTCAAGTGGCTGAATTTTTATTTGGAAAAAGGGGAGGTTCCAACTCCATACTTTCTCCCCCAGATGATAAGATTCCACATAGAGGCTATAACAGCCAGATCCCGTGGCTGGGCCCCAATAGGATTCCTTGGGAGGACCAAGTTGGATCACCGAAAGGAAGCCAAAGCAGTCCATATTTGGGTTTTGGTCAGCTTATGGGTGCCCCAGGGACACACGGTAGTTTGGAGACCAGGCCAGGCAGTCCACTTCTTTAAGTTTCTGCTCTTTGTGGGATACAAAGGTGTAAAGCAGGGTTTGGAATCCTCACAGGCCTTCAGGGAACAGGCAGGTAATAAAAACACAGGGTGCAGCTGGAAGGAGACAAAAGGGAATGGTGGGGCCTAGACAGAAATGGAAAATGCAGGCCCACCTAGAGGAATCCAACATCAGTTATTTATAACACAGTTTACTGGCCACACTCTGGGGGACTGGCTTTAGTGGGTTTGTGAGTCCTGATCAAAGGAAAAGGCGTCATGGAAACAGAAGGCCAGGGGCCATGTATGTAGGAGTTTTCGAGGGGAGGTGTATGCAGGGAGAGTGTAAGTGCTAGAAATGTCCGTCCCAAAGCTAAGCGTGAGCATGGCTGCTGGGGAAGGGCTGAGAAGAACGGAATTGAAATGGTCCTGGGGTTTAGGCTGCTGCCCTGTCCAGCTGAGAGGTGACTCTGGCTCAGGTCATGCCTGGCCCACACCACTCTTTGCTCAGGGTGACTCAACTCTGACCTAGAGTTTATTTTTATATAAATATTTACAGAGCAAACTTGAAGAATCTGTTAGGGGAAATGATGGACTTAAAATGAGAGAGGAGGCCTAGTGAAATGAAGCTCCTTTGAAAGGAGTGAAAGCCCACATCTAGGAACCCCAGACCTTAGCTCCTCCTCACCTCATCAGTGCTACTCCCAGGGAAGTCCTTGTGCGTGTTTTCTCTTTGGGAGGAAGGGGAGGGGCAGACAGTCCTGACCTTCACGTGGGTCAGGTTCAGCTTCATGAAACCAGTTAATGACAGAAGCCAAGTTCTGCCTTTGTGTGCCCATGGGAACACACCTCCCTACCCACTCACATCTCACCGCCCATCCCTTCTTCCTCCCCAAACCACACAAGAAACACACACACACACACACACACACACACACACACACACACACACACACACGAAATTCTCTGTACCTCCTCTCCAGAAGCAGAAACTGCCAAGATCACAGCCCCAACCCTAGGAAGTGCTACTAAGGATTAAAATATATCTTTGTATTTGAGAGGGACTAGGAAAATGAGTAATGCAGAATTTGGGGTTCAGACAAAGTTACAGATCCAGCCAGGCCCTCCATTCCCTTGGATGGCTGCTGAATGCTGACTTACACAGGAACTTTGGACAGTAGAGGTTTTTTAAAATTCCCTAGCAGCTAATCTGAAGCTCATTTGTTAGTTTTGAGAGGCACAGTTTGCGTAACGTAGAGTTGTAAGTAGCTCTGTCGAGCATACTGGTCCTCATTTCCCCAGCCTGGGCCCTAGAAGGGACCGATGTGGGCTGATAGCTCCCGGGGAGCTCAGAAGGGCTCCAGGAAGTTCGAGGAACATGTAAATGTTGTGAGCAAGAGTTTGTCCTCCAAAGTCACAAGGAAACTCATTTCAGACCCCAGCTCTGCTCCTTCCAGCTGTGTGACCTTGAACCGTGACTTAACTTTCACGGTGCAACTTCTTCATCTATGAAATGGGGATGCTAATGGAGCCATGGGTTATGATGGGGTGATGCATGTATCACAGCTGACATTCATCAAGCACCTTGTAAGTATTCCCTGTTACAAAATTTTTAGAAAAAAAGGAAACAAAAGGGGGAGAACCGTACTGTGTCCTCCTTTGAACTCCTGGGCACCGTCAGTGCAGCAGTCTTTCTGGTGCATCATAGATGTGTCTTAGCTCGAGAGCAGGATCCCCGTCTTTTCATCTCAAATCACCTGCAGGGCATAGAATAAAAGAACTCTGGTCTATGCTCATTATTGCTCCAGGGGCCCCACGCCTGCTTCCTGCATTACCCTGGTTTACGCACTGCTGTCCTGAACCACGCTGAAGCCATCGCCACTTGCAGCCCCAGCTCTGTCCACTGTCCCCCTCTGGCCGGAGGCCCTGGAGCCCTCCCTGCCCACTGCTTCGCTCTGAGACACAGTTGCCTTCCTGCCTCATTCCACTGCGTCCTGTCCCCGACCAGGGATGGCTTTCCCTCTGCACCGGGGGCTCCTTTCCATTGACAGAAAAACCAACCACAATCTTTGGCCATCAGGAGAGGGAGCAGACCTTGGGCAGGAGGAGAGGAGAACATGGTGAGTGGTGGGCTCAGTGGCCCCAAGATGCCCCTCATCAGCCATATTCCCCCTTGCAGGAGCAGGAGGCCACCCACCACCATGAGCAGCACCCTGTCACCCACAGACTTCGACAGTTTGGAGATCCAGGGCCAGTACAGCGACATCAACAATCGCTGGGACCTGCCTGACTCGGACTGGGACAATGACAGCAGCTCAGCCCGCCTCTTTGAGAGGTCTCGAATTAAGGCCCTGGCAGGTGAGAACAGGGGAGGGCCCAGGGAGATGCTGAGGACGCTGGGGACAGAAGCTTGTCGGGAGGAGTCCTTTAACTTCATGGGAAGGCAGGCTTTCTAAGCTGCTGCACGGGAGTGGCAAATCCACATCACCCTATCAAGAGCCTGGTCCCCAACTCCAGCCTTCAGAACAAACTTCATGCAATCCAGAACATTCCCCGGCTTCCCTGACCCCAGCAGAGAGAGGTCCTGCTGACTCTGGTACTCAGCTGTGTTCCCCTCTGCACTCAGCTGGCTTCTTGGCCTCTGACCCTGAGTCATGTCCTGAATTCTCTTGCACTTGGTCTTGCTGTTTGCTTCCACCCACCTCTCCTTTACCTTTCATCCCCTTGTGTCTTCATTGGTTTCCACTGTCATCTCTCACACCTGTTCTTCCCCCCACACACACACCCAGTCCATTATCCGCTCCTCTCCCTCCCCACCTGTTCCCTCCACCTGCTGCCTGTTCCTCCCATTATTTCATCTACCTATTCCCTGAAGCAGGTGCCCTCTACCCTCCCCTGGTTTGCTCTCTGCCTGGCCCCTGCCCTCCCCTACGGCCTGGGCTTTCCCCTTCAGCTCCTCCAAGCTCAAACAAACCCGTTGGACGGGCCTCCCTGCGTTCCCTGGGAGGAGTTGTCATGGCAACAAGAGTGCAGCTGCCACCTGACACCCCTAGCGGATGGCCTGGCCCGCGTGGGGCTGAGTCACCCACACACCCCAAGGCTACCCACCCCATCAGACTACCCTCCTCCACCCCACCTTGTCTTTCCCACTGACTTACTGGCCTCCCAGCCAAGTGCAGTGGGAGAGGTCCCACCTACTCCCTCCTGAGAGGTGGTGCTCCCAGCGTGGGTGGGGTGGCTTCCCGGAAGAAGGGAGACACTGAAGGGGGTGGTTCCCAAACCTGGCCACACTTTTCACAGAACCCACCCAGGGCCGTTTTTACAAGCACGATTGCCAAGCCCCTTCCTGACACTTGGATTAGAATCTTTGGACATGCGGTCCAGATGTCAGGGTTTTTAAGCTCTCCAGGCAATTCTTTCAGCCAGCCCAGCACCAGTCAGAGGACCTCCACGTGGTGGCATAGCTTCTGGGGACCCCTTATCATTTTCTCCGGGGCTTCTCTGTCCTGGTTGGGTCTTCAGGCTGGCTTGGGAAACACCCATCCCTATGGATGGGAGAAGACAGAGACATGGGTTGTGAGAACGTCACCTCTTTGGGGGAAAGTTTCCCTGGTGCCCTGGCCCTGGGAGCACGTAGCCTCTAGAACTGTCATGATGTCGGATGTACATGCCACGCGATACCAGGACTGGTGCGATGTCTGCGCGCCCCATGCTGCCTCTGGCTCTCTGAAGAGGCCTCTCCTTATGAGCTTTGCTTTGCACTGACCTCGCACTAGTAGGTGCCAAATAGATGCTGAATGAATGACGATGGGAGAGGCGAGGCTGGGCTGTAAGGGAAAGAGCTAAAGCCCAGAGACAGGTCGGAAGGGAATCTGGTAGATTGCTCAGCAGTGGGTGTACTGGGGGCCTGGCATGGCCTGGCTGGGGGCCGAGGGGCCCAGTGTCAGGAGAGGGGTGGGACTGGAGGCGATGATGACAAACAAGTGGGAGGGATAAGAACTCGGATTTCACAGATACAGGGATGTAAGGAGTTTCTCTTTCTCTGCTCTCTGAGCTGGGGATCACAGCCCATGTCCTGAAGCGGGGGCCTCCCAAAGTCACCCAGAGAGGGGCCATCCTTGTCACAGCTGACAACCTTTGGGAAGCAGGACTTTGGCTGGGGAATCCTCTCTTGGCTTCTCTGGACTCTTAGGCAACTCAGGGCCTGATGGGCAGGTCTCTAAGAGGCTTGCAGTCCCTCCTCCGCCCCACAGGGCCTGGCCCTGCCCCAGCCGCGGGCTCCGCCTCCACCCCTCCCCCGGCACTGTCCAACCTGTTTGTCTGGAGCTGCCTCTGTCTCCTCTCACCACAGCCAGGTGTGCCCTGCTGCTTGTCTGGGAGTTCGGGATCCCAGACATCCTGTAACTCCTTTTTCTAACTCCTTGAACTTCTACCATCTTTGGACCACCCCCTTCACCACCACCCAGGACCCCAGCCTCTGGGGATCCCAGGCTCCAGGGAGGCTGAACCTGTGACCCTGCCCCTGTGCGGGCAGGGCATGGACTCTGGGCCCCCAGCTGTGTAGAAGGCAGCGGGCACCATGAATGGGAACGGGGTGAGCAGGGTGCACGGGCACAGCCTGAACGGGGCTGGTGAGTTTTACTATGAGGCTGTGGAAGGGTCTCAGAACCCCAGGGGCCTCCTGCTCTCGCCAGCTGCCTTCATCAACCCCGCTCAGTACGCCAGCGTGCTGGAAGGACGCTTCAAACAGCTTCAAGGTGAGCTCCTCGGGCCCAGGGGAGCGGAGGGGATCCTGGGGGCGTGGGAGAGGAGCCAGAGTGAAGAACGGGAGTGGAACGTTGGCTGTGACTCAGGCGTTTGTGCTGGGAGACAGTATGCCAGGGGAATAATTACAAGTGGCCAGAAAATACGTGGATGCCGACAGCATGGGGGAAAGGCCGCGACCCACTCACTGGAAGGGTCTGTGAGCGTGTGAGTGGGTGTGACCGCAAGGCCCCGCTGTGTCCCCCAGTGAATGCTGTGACCATGGAGGCGGCAGGCGAGGCTGAGAAAAGCAGCGCCCGTGTCAGCAAATAGGGAGACCGCCAGCGAGGTCTCACTGAGACGTTCACTTTCAGTGGGTTTGAAGGCGCAGGCCTGCCGGGATATTTGGGGAAGGAGGAGAGGGGAGTGAGCCAGGAGGCCTAGGGACCCAGGCTTGTGAGTGGCGCCCTGAGTTTCTGTGTGGGTCTGAGTATGCGAGGAGGCAGTGTGTGTGGGAACTGGGCAGTGTGTCAAAGGGAGTTGGTGCAGGCAGACTTAGGTATAAGTCTGAGCAGGCGTGTGTTCGTCTGGCACCAGTGTTTCCGTGTGTTTCTGGAAGTCGCTGTGTTTGGTGGGGGTTGTCTGTGGATGCTGTGGACGCTTATGAAGTTACACTTTGTCTCCAGTGCTTGGCTTTGCACATTTCTCTCCCGGCCCCACTGTTTCCACGTCTTCCCCGTTCATTCTGTCTGTGTGCCAACATGGCCTCCCCCACTGTGCCTGGCATGGACAGTCCCATGGATCCAGGAGTGGCCGGTGGTCCAGGAAATCCCTGGCTTAGTCGGTAGACCCTGAAAGGAGCCCCCAAAGCTCCCTTGGTCCCGCAGTGCTGCAGAGCATGAGCTGTCCCGTGCAGCTGTTAGAACCCCGAGGTTGGCCGGGCGCAGGGGTTGGAGGTAAGAAAGACAGGACGAGACGCGGGTGTGTCGTGTGTTTGTAGGTGAGGTGCGTAGGAATGTGAGATTAAGGGATGAGTCTTTTCAGTTTCTGAGATGCTGGTGCTGAGAGGGAAACAAGAGTGACTGTTCAGGTCCTGGCCACTCGGGCTGGATCCTTGCACCGGGCTCCCCTGGGGAGAACTGACGGAAATCTTAGTGACCGAAGCAGCGTCCAGTGGCCTGAGCTTCTTCCCTCAGTTTGTCATTGATGACATTTTTAATTTTTATTTTTTGGTGGAACCTAAGAGCATCCCCTCAAGCAGCGCCCCTCCCTGTGGACCAGGCAACAGGACATTTCCTCATTTTTTGAGATAATTGGCACTTGACTCTGCCTGGCTCCGCCCCACACATACCCCGTGTTTCTTGGGCTCACTCTCTTCCCTGTTCCCAACTTCAAGATCTTATTTTTCTTCTCAGTGTTGGAAGGTTGGGGTCCCGGGAGCACATCCCTTGCAGCCCATTGAATGAACCCACCTCAGAAAAGCCCGTCTCTAAATTATCCCAGGAGAGCAAGCCGGCTCCGGCGGCCTGCAGGCTCTATGATGTCACATCGTTCTAATAGCCACTTGCAAGAGCCGCTGCTGTGCTTTAAGTCCGCACCCTCCCATTTGCCCACCCCCCAAAGAGAGCAGCCGCACGGCCTGCCGGGCGAGCACTGTCCTGGGCCTTGGGCGGCTCCTGTAGAACAGACTCACCCAGGACCTCACACACCCGGCCCGCTTAATCAGCACAGGGCCCTGTTGAAGCGGAAAGTGTTATGCCCGTTTTATAGATGAGGAAACTGAGGCTCTGATAGAGGAAGTAACCGTTGCACCACTGTTACCTGGCCGCGCCCTGATCCCAGATCCCAGCCCTTCCCTCCATGTTTCGTAGCTCCTAATTTCTTTCATCCTTTCTTCTCAAAGCCTGTATCTCGCTCTCATTTTTGTCCTTTATCTTACTGGGATGAGCTCATTCCCATTTCTTTATTTCCCTGCTTTTTAAGTTATTTTCCTTTTGGCCATCTTCCTTCCCTCCTCCCCTTCCCAGACCTCACCTCCTGCCTCTCAGGCACCCCTCACCCCGCAAACGCACCAACTGGTGATTAGAAACAACTGTATTTGAAGGACAGAAATGACCTCATGTTGCCACCACAGATGAGCGAGAAGCCGTGCAGAAGAAAACCTTCACCAAGTGGGTGAACTCACACCTGGCCCGGGTGACCTGCCGGGTGGGCGACCTGTACAGCGACCTCCGGGATGGACGTAACCTCCTGAGGCTCCTCGAGGTGCTGTCGGGAGAGACACTGGTGAGCTGTGGTCACCAGGGAGGAGGGGGCCTGAGAAACGGTGGTCCAGGGGTGATCTGCAGGGGTCTCCCCTAGAGAGGAGAGTGACACCTCAGAGCGAGAGCAGTAGCTGCCCCATACGGGTGGGCGACCTGTACAGCGACCTCCGGGATGGACGTAACCTCCTGAGGCTCCTCGAGGTGCTGTCGGGAGAGACACTGGTGAGCTGTGGTCACCAGGGAGGAGGGGGCCTGAGAAACGGTGGTCCAGGGGTGATCTGCAGGGGTCTCCCCTAGAGAGGAGAGTGACACCTCAGAGCGAGAGCAGTAGCTGCCCGGTACGGAGCCCGGTTTCATTCTGAGGCTTTGCTGCGTGGATTAAGCAGGAGCATTGCTTCAGGGAGACAGGAACAGTGGCCCCATTGAAAACATTTCTTTTCCCACCCACTCTGCGTGCAATTAATTCCCTTGGGAATCTTAATCTGGCCTGAGCCTCATCTGCAACCTCAGCTTTGGCTCCGTGAACTTGGGCCCAGCCCTGAGGCAGTCCCTGTGTTCCCGAGGGAGGTCATGGGGAAGGTGTGCAAAGCAGGGCTCGGGAAGGGAGGAGGGGAGGAGGAGGCCCACGGTCCCATGCCTTTGTGTCCCCTGACCCTCAACAGCCAAAGCCCACGAAGGGCCGCATGCGGATCCACTGCCTGGAGAATGTGGACAAGGCCCTGCAGTTCCTGAAGGAGCAGAAAGTGCACTTGGAAAATATGGGGTCCCATGACATTGTGGACGGAAACCACCGCCTGACCCTGGGGCTGGTCTGGACGATCATCCTTCGGTTCCAGGTACCCCGACTCAGTGCACTAAGCGCTGCTCTGCACCTCGGGCTGCACCGCGCGGTCCCTGCCCATCCAGCGTGTGATCAGTGTACAAGTGGAGGGTGTAGAACCGTGTAGAGCAATCAGGGACTCTCCTCATTAAACAGGGCATTGACTGGTGTGGCAAGTTCCCTGTGGCCCGGTCTATGTCCAGGTCACGGGCAGTAGGACCATATGTTGGTCCACAAGGGACTGGATGTTTTACAAACTGGTTCTTCACCACAGAGAGTTTAAGAACTACATCTTGGGTCTGGTCACTGGCCCATTCCTCTGCCTCAGACTCTGCTTACCTCCCTGAAAAGAGCAGCCACCCTACTCCTTATGCTCCGAGCATGGCCAGTCCAGTGTCCTGGTGCCACCACAACCCTCCTGATCTCCCCGGATGTAGCCTCCTTTGCTCCTTCCAGCCCTAAGCAGGGCTCTGTCCGCTTCACCTTCGAAACCCAGCTCTCAGCAAATGTTTACTCGCCCACCCGAAGATCCCCACCCGCAGGAACCAGCACCTTTCACTTCAGGGCGCTTCCACTGTTCTGACTTCCTACCCCACTCCGCTGCCGCAGATCCCTTTGACCCCATGTTCTGTGGTCACTAGCCCAGGAAGAAAGGTCCCCCGGCTCCGTCTCTACCACCCCTATTACAGGAGTCTAGAGAGCAGTTTTCTGTCCCATTATCTCTGAGCATCTCCGATAACTCCAGGAGCCCCTGTCCAGGGAGTCAAGGCCTCCCTTCCTTCCCTCTTAGATCCAAGACATCAGTGTGGAAACAGAAGACAACAAGGAGAAGAAGTCAGCCAAGGATGCCTTGCTGCTGTGGTGCCAGATGAAGACGGCTGGGTGAGGCTGCCCAGGGAGCGTGGCCTTGGAGGGGGGGAGGCACCGAGGCCGGGCGATAACGGAAGGGCAGACCCCAGGAACCTTGAGTCTCGCTCGAACCAGGGCTTGGACCTGATTTCCCTCGTCTCTGTCTGTAGGTATCCCAATGTCAACGTGCACAACTTCACCACCAGTTGGAGAGATGGGCTGGCCTTCAACGCCATTGTGCATAAGCACCGGTGAGAAGAAGGGGTCAGCGGGCCTGTCGGAGCTGCTGGGGTGGGTGGGTTACTGACCCAGGGGCACGCACACATGTTGATGGAGCAATGAGACGAGCTCCACAGCAATTGTGAGGAATGAACGCCGGGATAAGAGCCAGGATGTGGGGGCGCAGTGTTGCAAAGAAGGCTTGTGATGGGAACCCGGGGGCGTAGGCGCCGTGAGTGTGGGTCTGGGGCGCCTGGTCCTGGACACAGTGGACTCAGTGACTTGGGATAAAGAAAGGGGTGGCTTTGCTTTCCTCTTGAGGATCTTCGGTGTTTCTGATATTTCTCTATTCCCCCCGCCCCAGGCCAGACCTGCTGGATTTCGAGTCCCTGAAGAAGTGTAACGCCCACTACAACCTACAGAACGCCTTCAACCTGGCCGAGAAGGAGCTGGGGCTCACCAAGCTTCTGGACCCCGAAGGTGGGCCGAGCTTGCGAACACGATGCTGTGCCATAGAGACAGATGGGCTTTCTTTGGGGAGTGATGACAGTGTTCTGGAATTAGATGGTGGCCATGGCTGCACAACCTTGCAAATGTGCTAAAAACCACCACTGAGGCATACACTCTAAAAGGGTGAATGCAACGGTGTAAAAATTACATCCCGATTTTAGAAATGTAAAAGCTGTGGGAAGAAAGGCAGCCCTGTGCCGGAAATAGCCCAGAGATGAGGCTGGTCCCAGCCCCACCACGGAGCAGCTCTGTGACCCGCAGCCAGTTACTTGGCTCAGTGGCTCAGTTTCCTCATCTTCAAAATGAGAAGACTGGTCCAGCTGGTCTCTAAGGGCCCTTCTTATTCCAGAATCATAGGGTTCTAAGTTAAGCTACATGACCTGGAGGGCTCAGCAAGCACTGGGCCTGTGGTCAGCTGACCCTGCTGATGGGCCCTGTGGCTCTGATGTTAACGTTGATGAGACCGGGAATGGCCACTGGGCTCTTATTCTGTCCCTGGCACCGCACGGACATGCTTTCATTAACTTAACCCACACAGCACGCCCTTTGAAATCAGTGTCATTATTACCCTCAGCTAATGGAAGAGGAGCCGGGGCCTGGAGAGGTTAAGTGCCTTTCCCGAGGTCAGACGGCCGGTGGAGCTGAGGTTCACATTCAGGCAGCGGGGCTCCAGAGCCGGTTCCCGTTTCTCAGCCACCTCTCTGAGGGCGGAGAGCAGTCTTGGTGCAGCCAGAAACGGGAAGGAGGGAGAGGCCCGGTGACTTCCTGCGGGAGACACTCCCTCTTAAGGTCACCGGGCAAATTTGGGTCTTGGGTATTTTCTGCCTGTTTTCCATCCCCCCTCCCCTCTTCAATCATTACCTTTGTGGCTACTTACTATCACTTTCTCCAAGATGAAGGCTCTGGCCGTGGAAGGCAAAAGAGTTGGGAAGGTACTGTCCACCGCGGGGCAGTAGGCGTAAAGGCCTACGCCCTCTTAGTCCAGGGTGACAGACATCAGCGAACTAGTGATGAAAGTAGGCCAGACACAAGGTTCCTTGTAGAGCAGTTGAGAAGCACAGCTAGGATAAAGGACATCTAAGTAAAGCCAAGTATCCGATAGCTTTCTGCGATGATTTCAGCGGCTCCTGCCTTCTCGGGGTTTTCAGAGGTGACCAGGAGGGCTTCCGGTCCCCCAGTCTTCCCTTTAGGAAGGGTACACTCAGCCTAATTAAGAGAACCCAAGGCTTTCAAGTCAGAGTCAGCCTTGGCCCTTGTGGTGGGAGCTGATTTGGCCTGATGGACACTTCCTTCCAGCGGCCCACGGCTGAACTTTGGGATTGAGGTCAGATACAGCCTTGACCGTGCCCAGAGATGGCCATCAGAACTGGCCTCTAACCCTGCTGCTGGGCTCATGGGCCCTTCCCCTGAACATCCTGGGTTCAGGGGGCTTCATTCATACCTCTGTCTTGCTGAATATTCTGACTTCTTACACATCTTTCGAGCCCATAAGTCCATGATCCATCCCCAAGTGGGAATGCTATTTCTTTCCTTGTGTTGCTTCCTCCAACAGCTAAATTTGGTCTCCACGTCGGGAATGCTGGTAAAAGCCTCCTTGGGTTTCTGAGCTTTGTACTCTGCTTGTTTCTCAGAGGAAAAAAAATGTTACCTTTTCATGCCCTTTTAATCCATGTGGTTCATTTGTCATTTTGCTGTGAAGGGAGCTGGAAAGATGTCAGCCTTGGAGGGCCGGGGGGGGGGGGGAGCTGGCTTTGGGGTAAGAGATTCATGTTGCAGGGGCCCTTCTGGGAGGCAGGCTTCTCACCTCTGCCTGACCTGAGTGCTCTTTTTTCCCAGATGTGAATGTGGACCAACCAGATGAGAAATCCATCATTACCTATGTGGCTACTTACTATCACTATTTCTCCAAGATGAAGGCCCTGGCTGTGGAAGGCAAAAGGATTGGGAAGGTACTGTCCACCGCGGGGCAGTAGGTGTAAAGGCCAGAGAAGGCCTGGCCTCAGGGTCCTACTCCCCTCAAGCAGGGGCAGGGTGGAGCTGCAGGACTGGGCCCGGGGCCCATGGACATAACCCCACGTCACTGTCTCGCAGGTGCTGGACCACGCCATGGAGGCCGAGCGGCTGGTGGAGAAGTACGAGTCCCTGGCCTCAGAGCTGCTGCAGTGGATCGAGCAAACGATCGTGACCCTCAATGACCGGCAGCTGGCCAACTCCCTGAGCGGGGTCCAGAACCAGCTGCAGTCCTTCAATTCTTACCGCACGGTGGAGAAGCCGCCCAAGTAAGTGCCCCTGGGCCGCTCCTTGCCGCAGCGGGCCCGCCCCGAGCTGTGCTCACCCGAGAGGAAGCTAAATTAGGATGGCCTTTCGGGAGGGAAATTTGGCAGTGCATAGACGCAGGGGAGGCTCATCTCTCTCGGCTCAAAGCACGAGAAGCAGTCCCCCGAATGAATTCTTAAACGATTATCCATTAAAAAAAAAATCAGGCTGTGGAAATGATTGCCGAGGGATGTAGAGTCAGTGCAATCCACTCAGATACTGGTCAGGGCCCCAGCAACCCAGCCCCAGCTTAGGGACCGGGTCAGGGGATTGCACCCGACAGGCAACACAGGAGTGTTGCTAGTAGCTTGCACATTGCAGAGGTTCTTATCATCTATACAGGGTGTCCCCCAAGAATGTATATACACTTTAACAGCCGATAGCTATAATAGCTATCGGCTGTTAAAGTGTGTATACATTTGAAAAATGAAATGTATTTTAATAAACACTGCCTTTATAATTATTCAAAGTGTGTGTATATATTTTGGGGGGACACCCTATATATTTTAGAAATTAACTCTTTTCAAGGATGGAACTGCTGTTAGGCAGTTCTATACAGTGTATGCTAAAATGTCTGTTTTCCTATTATGGAGCTCTTTTGGAGTTAGTATGCTTCAGCTCCAAAGCTAGAATTAATCCAGAAAACATCTATTCCTATACATTCCAGGGAATGATTTGACCCAGAAAATCCTTTTCTGGGCATTGAACAAAGATGTAGCTTCAAGGATGTTCACCAGCGTGACCTTTGTAAAAGAAAAATAAGTCACAACCACTGACACTTATGTTGAAGAAATGTGTCGATTGGCTAAAAAGATGTTCATGACAGTTTACAAAACAGTTATTTGTGGACAACAGAGAGCAAAGGGCTAAGTCCAGGTTCAAAGTGCCTGCGTTCAAATCCTGGCTCTTCAACTTAATGGTTGTGAGTTGTTACCCTCTCCGTGCCTCAGTGTTCTCATCTGGAAAATGGGGGTAATAGGAGGATGTAGCCAGCAGGGAGAACTAAGCAATGTGTGTAAAGTCCTTGGAAGAAGGCCTGCCCCACAGTGAGAGAGTCCTGGACAAATGTTAGCCACAGCTGTGATCCGAGCCCATCTGTGTAAAACGAAAATGAAGCAAGTGTGTGCCAGTGGGTAACGGGCCATTTCTGGGTGGTTTTCAGGTGTTTTTAAATTACGTTCTTTTGATTCGCCAGTATTCTCTGTCTTTCATGTGTTGCTTTTATGAGAAGAAAACGTAGAGTCCCTGTTCCCCCCTCCCGCTCCCCCGTGACCTTTGACTCTGACCCCACCCCGGCCTCCCGCCCCAGGTTCACAGAGAAAGGGAACCTGGAAGTGCTGCTCTTCACCATCCAGAGCAAGCTGCGGGCCAACAACCAGAAGGTGTACACGCCCCGCGAGGGCCGGCTCATCTCTGACATCAACAAGGTCCACCACCCCCCTTTCCCATCCCACGGGCATCCCACCCTTGGCACCAGCCCCTACGGCCCCAACTTGAACTCTGGTCCCCGATGCCCACACCCCTCCCTGGTGCAGACGTGACTCACACATTCTCTCATGCGTCCTGCACACCCCCCTTCCTCCTCCCTCTGCCTCTCCATGTGAGTTCACATAATAAAATCATGCCCTAGTCTCTTATCTTGTTCAGCCTGATGATTAATAAAAGTAATAGGGGTCACCCACCGTCCCCTCCCCCCCACACACACACACAAACAAATCCAGTGGTTTCCATTGTTCCCGGTCCCCTCCGGTCCTTGCCTGAAGCAGGCGTAGTTTTCCCGTGGCTACTGCGCTCACGCTGCCCCTGCTTCTCATACCTCCACGCACCGGCGTCTAACTGAGCGCATTCCGCAGATGCACTAGACCGCGCTTCCCCGGGACTCACCATGTGCCCAGCCCCAGTGACCCCTCCTTCCCGAGCCCTGGCCCTTCAGCACTGATCCTGTCCCACCTCGCAGGCCTGGGAGCGGCTGGAGAAGGCCGAGCATGAGCGCGAGTTGGCCCTGCGCACCGAGCTGATCCGCCAGGAGAAGCTGGAGCAGCTGGCCGCCCGCTTCGACCGCAAGGCCGCGATGCGGGAGACCTGGCTCAGCGAGAACCAGCGCCTCGTGTCCCAGGTAGAACACGGGGGGTTCTTGGCCTGTCCAGGCTGCTGGGGAGAAGGGGGGAGAGGGTGGTGGATAAGAAGCCCTGCAGGGTGGGGAGCTAATGAAACAAGAAGTCCATCACGTGGATAAAAAGACCAAGAATCCCAGGAGCCAGGGGCCAGAGGCTTGAGCAGGAGAAGGGGTTGGCGAGACAGAATGAGAAGGGATAGAGAGGAAACGGAGAGCCACCTCATGGGGTTGG